CACACACACACACACACACACACACACACACACACACACACACACACTCACACACACAATTATGAAACCTTTAGAATAAAATGACTAAGAAAAATCTTCAGATTAAAGCAGATCAAAGAGACAGGGCAACTAAATATCACATATTAGCTCAGACTAGAAATTAGACTTGAAAGCATAAAACCCTGCCATTACAAATATTATGGGGCAGGGCTGGAGAGATGACTCAGCAGTTAAAAGCACTAGTTGCTCTTTCAGAGGACTTGGGTTCAATGCCCAGCAACCACATGGCAGCTCACAAATGTCTGTAACTCAAGGCTCACTGGATCCAATTCTCTCACACAAATATACAAGCCAAACATCAATGCACATTAAAAAAAAAAATTACGTGGTAAACTGGGCAATGGTGGTGCAGAACTTTAATCCCTGTACTTCAGAGGCAGAGGCATGGGGATCTCTGTCAGCTCAAGGCTGGCCTGGTCTACAGAGTGAGTTCTAGGACAGTCAAGATCACACACACACACACACACACACACATACACACACACAAACCTGTCTTGAAAAACAAAAATAACAACAAAACCAAAAACCAATCAAATGACAACAACAAAAAAACATCAAAAAAAAAAAAAAAAAAAAAAAAGAAAGAAAATGGAAAAATATAAATTTATTTTGAAAACGATGGGATGAGGATAGTATATGCCAACAATCCTAGCACTTGGGAGGTAGAGGCAGGAGAAAGAGGACTTCAGAGCAATCTTCAGGAACACAGAGGGTTTGAGACTAGCTTGAACTACACGAAACCCTGTCTCAAAAATAAGTAAAATTAAATATGGATAGTACACTAGATAAAAAAATAATACTACATTGATATTAGTTTTTTAGCCCAGCGTGGTGGCACACCTCTAATCCCAGCACTCAGGGAGGCAGAGGCAGGCGTATCTCTGTGAGTTCGAGGCCAGCCTTGTCTACAAAGGGAGTCCAGGTCAGCCAAGGCTACATAGAAAGACCCTGTCTCAAAAAACCAAAAAGAAATAAATAAATTGATAGATATTAGTTTTGTTTTTGTTTTTTTTGAAAACTGTTAAGTCTGCTGTGGGGATAAGAGAATGTTCTTCTTCACAGAAGAGTGTGTGTTGAACAAGCTGAGCCTAGTGTGGTGGCACATGCCATTCATTCATGTATTCAGCAGAGGGAGATGGATCTCTGTGAGTTCAAGACTAGCCAGAACTCTATCACGAGACCCCTTCTTTTTTTTTTTTTCTTCTTCTTTTTTTTAAAAGATTTATTTATTATTTATTCAGTGTTCTGCCTGTACACCAGAAGAGGGCACCAGATCTCATTATAGATGGTTGTGAGCCACCATGTAGTTGCTGGGAAATGAACTCAGGACCTCTGGAAGAGCAGCCAGTGCTCTTAACCTCTGAGCCATCTCTCCAGCCCCAGACCCTGTCTTAATAAACAAAATCAAATAAATGTGTTAAGTACACACACACACCTGTATTCCTTGCACTTGATAGACTGAGGTAGCAGGATTCTGAGTTCAAGGCCAGCCTGGGTTACACAGAGAATTTGAAGCCATCTTGAGCTACAATGAGGATCCTATTTTTAAAAAACAAGAACAGCTGAGTAGTGGTGGCCCACGCCTTTAATCCCAGCACTTGGGAAAAAGAGGCATATAAGTGCCAGGACAGCCAGGGACTACACAGAGAAACCCTGTCTTGAAAAAACAAATAGAAAAACAAGAACATGAATGCTTGAGATAGTCTCATTATTTGGCCAGGTTATCTTGGAACAAGCAGTATGGTAGCTTCACTCTCCAATATGCTGGAGTTAAAAGTGGGAGAGACAGCGACAGCAGCTTACACTGTATTCTGAAAGGGTCCAGAAAAAAACAAAGTGTGCACACAGGCAGTGTACACAGTCATCAGTAACACAATACAGTGTACACAATCAACCAGTAACAGTAATTCATCATATGAGATAATGGTTTCAGGACAACTGCCAGAGTAGACAGAGGGCCAGCCTTGTTTCTAGCTGCAGCATACACAGTGTCTAGATGGACAGCAGTAGTGTACACTTTTATACCAGGACTCTAGTAGAGACAAGTGGATTTCTGAGTTAGAGGTCAGCATGGCCTTCTAGTACAGCCAGGGCTACACAGAGAAACTCTGTCTCAAAAAACAAAACAAAACAAAAAAAGGTAAGGCTACATTTCTATGATAGGAAAAAAGACTGGACCTGAATTAATAGACACCCTCAGTTAATTTCTCTTGAATGGAGAAGCCAAGAATTCTTTCTACCTTTTATCCCTTTAGGCCGGGAGAGAAGTGTGTGTGCCAGACACCTGTCTACATATAGAGACACTTAACACATAAATAAGAGGCTGGTCTGCATTCCATGTCCCTCCTTTTATTCCAGCCTACTTGAAAAGATATACTAACTTTTTGAAAAGAACAAGTTACATGGTCCTTATTAAAAAACAGGTATGATGAGTTAGGTTGGCATTTCATGGTTCAGCAACCGGATAAAGTCACACAGGAATCTGAATGTGCTGGGAACCAGCCCGACCTCTTTAGCAACTTTTGCAAAACCTCCTGTTTTATCTGATGGCTGAACACTCCCAGTGCCATCTGTGTAGTTCCCTGACCTCCTTACAATTAGAGGAAAGCCAACTGTACCTAACATACATCGTTAGAAACTTTTCTTTAAAGACACATGAATACTTTACTTCTAAATGTCTGACATACACAAATCCAAATGCCAAGGCCTACCGAATCAGCGTGTTCCCAATCTGGTGCCGTATTTCATTCCACTCCTCCTTGCTTTTACGAGGCCAAGAATTCAGGTTCAGTTCTGGCTCACTGGGTCTGCTGCTCAGCTTCATGGCCAGTGTGTCTTTCCTCTTCACTTTGTTGGCCAGGGCACCTTTACACAGGGAAGAAATGCTGAAGCACAAAGGCACAGGCTCATGGGAACCAGGCAAGAGTGAGATACAACTCCCAGCCGCCCAGCTGGCTTCAAATGACCCAGCCAAACTCAGAAGGGGCAAAGTAAGACATAAGACACTTATATATTTGGCAAAATGGACTGAGAGAAGTAAAGAACAGCCTCTCTCTACTATCAACCCTGGACCCCTTCCTCATTCGGTGAGAGTTTCTAAAGATGGAATCTAGTCTGTTCTGGGACAGTCCTCTGTTTAAAACATGAAAACTCTTATATTAATCTATCTTGTAAACTGTTCAATATTGGCTTTGAAACAGAACTTTGCTATGTTGCTGGGCTGCTCTCAAACTCCTGGGCTCACTTAATCTTGCCACCTCTGCCTCTTACTCTTAGCAGCTGGCCTGAATTATATTGTCATCTGGTAAATCTCCCAATCTTGCTTTCTTTGTTCTGAGACAGGGTTTCATGTAGCTCTCAGGCCCCACATGACCCCCTGCCCCCCTGCCTGCCTCCTCCTATCTTTCCAGTCCCATTTTGGTTTTGAGCTCATTTGGTAGCTCAGGCTATGTTCCAACTAATGCAATCCTGCCTTACCCTCTCCAGTGCTGTGGTTACAGGTGTAACCACACCCAGGAGAAGACACTTTTTTCTTTGGCTTAACAAGAAGCTCATTATATTGAAGAAAAAAAAAAAAAATCAACATTTATCTCTTTTTATTTAAGTCTTTCTTTTAAGATTTTATTTTTAATGATATGTTCATGTCTGTGTACAGGTGGATGCATATGAGTGTAGGTTCCCTCAGAGGCCAGAGGTATTGGATCCCAGGGAGCTGGAGTTACAGGTGATTTGTGAGCACCCAAATGGGTGCAGGGAATCGAACCAGGTCTTCTTCAACAGCAGTATCCATTCTTAACTGCTGAGCTAGCTCTCCAGTATCTCACCTAACTTTTTTTTGTTCTTGTTTTTTTTTTGAGACAGGGTTTCTCTGTGTAGCCTTGGCTGTCCAGGACTTACTTTGTACACCAGGCTGGCATCACACTCACAGAGATCCACCTGCCTTCCAGAGTGCCAGGATTATAGGCATGTGCCACCTCTGTACCAGTTTTTCTCTGTATTTCTTGGATCTCTATATTTCTTATATATCTTCAAGGTGAATGTGTTGTATTTCTTTCTGGTGTTAGGGACTGAATCTAGGTCCTGTGCTTGGCTTAGCACAGGCTCTATGCCTGAACCATAGTTCTAGTCTCTGGGTGAACAGATCTAAAATACAAACCAAGAATCTGAATGATGATGGCACACACCTTTAATCCTAGCACTAAGAAGGCAGAGGGAGGTGGATGTTTGTAAGTTCAAGGTTACCCTGGTCTACATAGTGAGGACCAGGCTAACCTGGACTACACAGTAAGACTTTGTCTTAACAAATAAATAAAGATTAAATCTGAATGATCCTGTCAATGTGGCTCCCTCTTATGGCCTTATTCAACAGAAGCCTGACAACAGGGAGAGGGATCCTTCACACTGGCTTCCAACAGCCAGAGGGTTCCACAGCCAGTGTCCCTGTTTCCACTCTGGCTGAGCAGCCAGCGTATTGGCAGAGGCTCTGCCAGGCATATGTAGTGCCTAGTCCTCAGCACCACACACAAACAACTTTCTTTTGTGCTTTCCGCTCCCTTTCTTACTTTGATGGCTTTCATCTTCATCATCTTCATCTCGATACTGAATGGGACCCTCTGAATCTGAGTCACTCTCCTTTTCTTCCTCTTGCAGAAACTGTGGTAGTTTAGGAGTGACTGAGGTAGATGTCATGTCTTCAACAAATGCCAATGGGCAGGTCTGCTCTTCTTCTTCATCATCTGGACTAACAAATAAACATAAGTATATATATGTGTGTGTGTGTATATGTGTATTTTCCCCCAAGAAACAATAAGGTTTTTCAAAAGAAATGACACACAAAATCCATTAGTGGAATAACTTGTAACTTTAACACTCTTCCTAAGAATCTTTTTAGTATTTAGGAATCTAAAAAGCACTGGGTTCAAATCCCAGGCTGATTCTCAGTAGACATGAACATATTTCAAATGTTTCCCAATTTTATCCACAAAAGCCATTAGAGTAGATACTACTCCCATTTAGAGATAAGATGATGATGATGATGATGATGATGATGATGATGATAATAATAATAATAATAATAATAAGAAGAAGAAGAAGAAGAAGAAGAGAGAAAAAAAAAAAGCTGAGTAATGTGCCTGGTTTTAGAAAGGTGTGATGACCAGGGCTTCCTCAGTCTCAGCAAAGGCTCTTAAGTACCATGTAACACACTTGTATCATCCAAAACTAGTATTAATGTTCATATCGACAGCTACTGTGGTGTCAACACAGAAATCACCATAAAAATCCACTAAAATGAAACAAAAAAGGACAACAACAACAAACACCACTTAGGAAGGCAGAGGCCAGCCTGGTCTACAAAGTGAGTCCAGGACAGCCAGGACTACACAGAGAAGTCCTGTCTCGAAAAACCAAAAACCAAGACAAACAAACAAAAAGCCCACAAGGTTATAGAAATCAGCAGAATAAAAGCCCTGCTTCGAGAATTGACTCTTGGCAGAAACATTCCTTGAACTTTAATTTACCCATGTTGTCTGAAGAGCTTTCCCATGTGGGGTTACCTACACGAAGCACAGAAACAAGAGGCAGGCAGCAAACACTCACACTTTTAGCATCTCAATCGTGATGGGAAGTGACCTGGTCCGACCCAGGGTACCACTGTCCTCAGAGAAGGTGTCACTGTTCTCAAAGAGCAGCGAATGAGCTCTGTGTGTGCCTTCCAAGGGTGGGGTCACGGGAAGGGGGCTGGCAAGGGCCTGCTGAATTCGGATATGTAGTGGGAGTGGGGGCAGTCTGGAGGGTACATGGGGCTCAGAAAAGCTCTGGTCCTCTATCTTCTTGGGGATTTCCTTTTTCTGATCTTCCTGCTGGGACATGTCCTGGGATAGATCTAAAGAAGGGGAAAACTCAACTTCTGGCACAATTTGAAAAGTCTTAGCAGGGAATAGTGGGGACCGTGGGGGCTCTGGAGGTATGTGAGTAGGCAGTGGGGGAGAAGGGGAGGAAGGCGGGATTATCAGCGGTGGTTCTGAACACACAGACACAGTTTTTTCACTGGCTGTTCTTGTGAGCGCAGCAGCGGGCTCAGAGGTGGGTACGGAGGTTGACGGAATGCCTCTCTTGGGTGGTAAGGGTGGGGATGGTTTCGACAACAGTGTGCCATTGTTTATTGCTTGAGATAGTTCAGCTGGAAAGGAGAGAAACACTTTGTTAGCATGGCTTTACAACGCACTGAAGACCTAGGTCAGAGCTGAGGTCAGAATTAACCTTTCAAACAAACGATACAATTTCATGGCTTTGCAATTCCTGAAACGAAATTTGTTTTTATCCAGATAAAGGCCTAATAAGTAGAGGTGAGAGAAAACCATGACGATTAAAATTTAATCACTATGATGATAGATGTGACAACTCTACGGCCCGATGTTAAAAACAGAATAGACTGGGGAGATGGGGGAGGAGGAGGAGGAACTTATTAAAAAGTTGTTTGTTTTTTAATTTTTATTTTATGTGTATGAGTGTTTTGCTTACATGTATTTCTGTACATCACATGTGTGCCTGGACTACTGCCTGCAGAGGGCAGAAGAAGGGCATTGGATCCCTTGGAATTGCAGTTACAGGTGACTGTGAGCAGTTACTAGGGGTGCTGGAATTGAACCTGGGTCCTCTGAAAGAGCAGCCAATGCTCTTAACTGCTAAGCCATCTCTCCTGCTAGATAATCCCAGAACTCAGGAAGACCACAGCTCAAGGCCAGCTTTTACTACGTACCTAGTTCTAGGCCAGCCAGGGCTACATAGCAAGACTCTTGTCTTATCTGAGTAGTTGGGGATGGGGGGTGGTGTAGAACACAAAACAAAAATTTTGTCTTAGAAATCCAACCAACCTGGGTGGCCATGTTGGCTCAGTGGGTAAGGGCACACACCTCCAAGCCTGATGACCTGAGTTTGATCCTTAACTCACACAGCGGAAGGTGTAAACCAATTTTTTAAAGCTGTCCTCTGACCAACATACTGCACTGTGAGATGTGTGTATCAGCATTCACATACATTGTATAAACACATAATAATTAATTAATTAAAATGAAAAGCACCCCAAACTCTTGGCCATTCTTACCATATCCTGATAAATACTGACACCTGAATACTGACCTTTGTATCATATGTTGCTCAATAAAATTCAGTAAAGCTATTTAGTAAATCTCGAATTATTATGATAAATGAAAACTCCTTCAAATAAATTAAAGTGCTTTTCGTTTATTGGCTCTTGCTTTTGTTTTCGGGTTTACTGAAAATATGATAGCACACAGCTGGGCATGGTGGCACAGGCCTGTAATCCCAGTACTCAGGGTGGATTGTTGTGAGTTCAAGGCCAGTGTGATCTACAAAGTGAGTCCAGGACATCCAAGGCTATAGAAAAACTCTGTCTTGAAAAACAACAAAAAAGGGGCTGGAGATATAGCTCAGAGGTTAAGAGCACTGACTGCTCTTCCAAAGATCCTGAGTTCAATTCCCAGCAACCACATGGTGGCTGACAACCATCTATAGTGAGATCTGGTGCCCTCTTCTGACAGGAAGGTGTACATTCAGGCAGAAAAAATGTATACATAATAAATAAATCTTTACGACAGAAAGAAAGAAAGAAAGAAAGAGAGAGAGAGAGAGAGAGAGAGAGAGAGAGACAGAAAGAAAGAAAGAAAGAAAGAAAGAAAGAAAGAAAGAAAGAAAGAAAGAAAGAAAGAAAGATAAAAACAACAAAAAAGAAAATATGACAGAACAAATTCAAATGGCTCCACGTGGTGTCCTGAAGTTCATCCCAACTGTAAGCTGAGTGACCTGCAGGTTAAAGACTGCCAAAGTCCAGAAGCTTCAGCATTTCCCTGGAGTCAGGCTCAACCTCAGTGATCTCCTGATCCAGGGCTGAGACCTCAGGAGCATGACTATCTCTCCTCTCTCTCCAACTCCTACACCTTGATAGAGATAGCTCTAAAGGGACCTCTCTGAATCTGCTTCATCAGACTAAGACATAGCCAGCTACCTTGTTGCAGAGTTTCTTGCTGGGCCTAATGTTGATACCACACACACTTGTTGGTCTGGAAGTCGTTACCCAAGTGTGTGTAGCACTTCTTAACAATCTTCTTCCCAGTCTTGGTGCAAACTTGGCCCATGTAGGCAGGGCTTCTCTTTTATGTCTTTTAAATCATTTGTGTATATGCATACATGTGGGGATCAGAGGACAACTTGGGGTGATTGGTTCTTTTTTTCTACCATGGAAGACTTGAGGATCAAACTGAGGTTGTCAAGCTTGGTGGCAAGTACCTTCATCACTGAGCCATCTCACCAGCCCTATCTTTATCTCTTATTCTCCAGTACCACCTGAGGTAATAAGGGAAAACAAGGTGTCATCTTTTTTTTTTTTTTTCTTCCAGAAGGAAAACTAGAAGGCAGACACTAGGTAACTTACCCATGACAGTACTAGAAACAAGCACGGCATTTAGCTAGTGTCCAGCAAGGCCAGCAGACCCTCACTGCCCTTTATTAGTGTGAGCACGCTACGGCCCCTCCGTGCACTTGTGTTCACTTTGCATCACGTTCTAGGCTTGATGGCAGGACAACTCTTGCCTCTATCAGCAGCATATTCCCAGGGTTCGGGGTAGTGTGCCCTCAACAGTGTTTGTAAGATGCTCTTGCTCTGTATCACGACAGCATATATCCCTACTGATCTTCCCAGAGCCCAAATGACTCAGGCTTTAATCCACATGAGAAGTGGGCCACCACATCATACAGAAGCTAACATGGTGAACCAATTAAAGAGGCATTCTTTTGATGAGCAGCCTCTAATCACCTATCTGAATCTTTTATTTCAGTCTACCTAATGTTCTCAAAGAATCTATAAATTTCCCCCCCAAAAATTTTATTTCCCTTAATCTCATTCCATGTATACATTCTAAGTAAAGAATGAGATAATCTTGGACTTTACTATCATTTATCGGAAGCTACACAAAGGGTATTTTATGCTGACATGGTAATGCATGCTCATGATGTCAGCAGTGAGAGGAGGATGAGGAGTTCAAGATGTTCCTTGTCTACAGAGTGAGTTCAAGGACTGGGTTACAGATGAGACCTTGTCAGAAAAACAAAAACAAAAGAGAAAAAAAAAACCAAATAAATAAAAAGAATACAGAAAACACTGCATACAATACACAAATACACAAAGATAAAAATAGCTCCATCTACAGTAAAACTGGCCCCTAACAAGACCATATTTAGAAAAGGGGAGATGGGACAGGGGGAAGAGGGTGAGAGAGTGAGACCAGGAAGAGAGTAGCAAGGGTGCTACAATCAGGATATAAAGCAAATATTTAAAAAAAAAACTATTTAAGCTGAAGTAAGATACAAAATGCTTAATTTTTGTTGTTGTTGTTGAGACAGGATCTCACTACATGCACACACATATACACACACAAACGTATGTATGTATGTATGGCCTGTAGGTTGGCCTGGACTCACTAAGTAGACCAGGTTAGCTTGGAATTCATCATGCCTGGCCCCTACCTTGTTTTTTACGACATTCTCTGACTAAGAACTGAGGCTTACCAGGTAGGGACAGCTACCTGCACAGTGACCCCAAGAATCCACCTATCTCTGTCTCCCTAGCATTCACTGCGCACCATCACACTTTTTTTTTTTTTTTTTTTTTTGAGGTGAGTTCTAGGGGTCAAACACCTATGCTTTCAAGGCATGTACTATATGGACTGAACTCTCTCCTGGGCCCTAAGAGTTCTGCTGTTTTATATTTTAAAAACTTCATTTTTATGTATGTTTGTGTGTGGCTGCCCATAAAGGCCAGGAAAAGGCACTGGATCCCTTGGAGCTAAAATTACAGGACATCAGCCAAACCATTTATAAAAGAACAAGAAGTGTGCTTAATTGCTGAGTTCTCTTTTTAAGACAGGGGCCCCCAGCCTATCATTTCTAAGGATTTCTAAATAACAGCTCATATCAAAGAAACCACTTATGATCATAATCTTCTTGTGAAAGAAATGCTATTTTCGAATAATGTCTAACCTTTAAATCAAATTTAATCTTAGCAGAAACTGTGAATTAGCCATTTTCCTTCTGTGAGGACCTGTACTGAAATGATGTTGCTTCTTCAGTCATGAGGCCTACTGCTCTGGGCTACCAGTTAAAGCTACTTTAGACACTTTTTTGGTTTGGTTTGGTTTTCCAGCTGCGACTGCCCTCAGACCCCTGCTCCTGCCTCCTAAGCACTGACATGCTAGATGTGCCTAACTGCAGGCAGCGAGTTATTTCATGTGTCGCCATAACTACAAAGACAGAGACAGCACTGGCCCTGAGCAGGAGCACAGAATGCTGTCCCTGGACTAGCAGCACAACATCCTCTGAAAACCTATTAGAAATACAGATTCTCGGGCCCTAGGTTGAGCTTAATGACATCAGAACCTCTGGGAGTAGGCCCCCCCCCCTCCATGCAGGCCTTCTAGGTAAACCCAGTTGACAGCAGTCTAGAAAACAGTTTGAGAACTACACTGTGGAGCTCAGAGGTGAGTTTCTGTTCTACACTGGCGAGTCACACATCAGCACTTCTAACTGCCTCTCTATATATTGCATAAAATCATTTCCTCCAGCCCAAGGCAGTTCTAAAGCGCATGTGAAAGCTCCTAGGTCCTGATAAGTCAGGGCAGCACCAGCCGTTAGGGTGATAACACAAAGATCCCCATCCTGTTCCCACTATACTACTCTAACCTGTCTGTGTGACATCGATTTTGAAGCCTGATAAGGCTCTAGTCATTCCACCCAGCTTAGCGACATTAGATTCTTAATGAGTATACTTTTTATTCATTATCTGTGCAAACAAGAACTTTAAGCAGAGGTAAGCCTAATATTGTTTTTCCTAAAAATTAACACTTTCATTAGCTCTGAAACACTTTATCAGTAACAGCTTTTCCCTTTCTTTCCTTTCTGGAAAATTTCGACGTGCAACTACGACAGGCATGTAAGAAGCCTAAGTAAGACTTTAGGAAAAATGTAAAGTAATTTACTAAGCCTATAAACATACATTCATATCCTTCCCTGCCTTCCTTTTGCAGTGGTCCTGAGGACTGAACCCAGGGCCTAACATGTACCAGGTCAGCCTTCACGTGGGGCTGTATCCCTGGCCCTCGTTGTTCTTTAATATCTTGAGACAAGATCTCACTACTGGTCATGAAGGCCTTGAATTTACAATCCTCAGTAGCTGAGGCCATAGACTTGTTCTAGCAGGCCCTGTTTTCTTTATCATCATTTATTTTTATCTATCCATCTATCTATCCATCTATCCATCCATCCATCCACCCATCCATCCATCCACCTACCTAACTACCTACCTACCTACCTACCTACCTACCTACCTACCTACCTACGTACCTACCTATTTTGACACAAGGTCTACAGACACTGAACTGGAATCTGCCATGCAGACTAGGGCAGTATCAACTCTGGCAAACCCTCCTGTCTCTGTTTACTGAGAACTCAGTTTCCAGCATGCCACCGCACCTGCAAGCGTAGCATTCTTAACACTCCCCAAGATAACCGTGATGTTATCTGTAGAACTTAAATACCTCTGTAGTTCCCACGAAGATACTATACTGGACTCTGAATCACAAGTTAACAGACATTGACAAAAACCATCATTTTAGCCACCAGACTTATGTTTAAAGAAGGAATTGGTAATTTAAAGTAAAAGAGGCATTCGCCTTGCCCCTTGTAAACTGTGCCGTTGTTGTAATTTTCTCATTGAGGCTGAAGGTAATTCCAATGATGGCCAAGCTTGTCATGGTCTTCACATATCTAGTCCATCAACTATATGTAATCGATTTTTGTTATTGTTGTTTTTGTTTATTCAGAGACAGAGGGGAATTGTAACAGAGTTTCATGTAGCCCAGGCAGGCTTCAAACTCATATATCCAAAGCTGACCTTGAATCCTGATTCTCCTGCCTCTGCTATCTGAGTGCGTCCCAAGTGTCACCAACGCCTAGTTCTAGGGGTTATTCTTTTAAATTTTTCAAATTTAATTATCAAATAAATTATTTGATAATAATCAAATAAAGTAATTATCAAATAAAGTAAATAAGTGATACTAGAGTTAGTTTTGTAATACTTATATAATAAAACAGATATTAATCTCTCCAGATTTCAACTTAATTTTACTAATGTTTCCAATTTATGGCCATTTTTGTTTTATTCTTAAAACTTTTTTCTTGCTGGGCGTGGTGGTGCACACCTGTAATCCCAGCACTCAGGAGACAGAGGCAGGTGGATCTGTGAGTTTGAGACCAGCCTAGTCTACAAAGCAAGCCCAGGACAGCCAGGGCTACACAGGAAAACCCAGTCTCAAAAAACAAAACACAAAACTCTTTTCTTCCTTCCTTCCTTCTTTCCTTCCTCCCTCCCACCTTCCCTCCCTCTCCCTCTTTCTTTCTTTCTTTTAGGGGGAAGGGAGTGGGGGACAGGGAATCCTTGTCTATCCTAGAACTCATTTTGTAGACCAGGTTGACAGAGATCACCTGCTTCTGCCTCTCACATGCTAGCTGTACACCACCACGCCTGGCTCTAAAACTTATTTCTATATTGAGAACATTCAAAGAGATGAGATAGAAAACTCGTTCACAGACCAAATCAGTAATCTAGTGCTACCCCATGGCGTACACCTTTGATCCCAGTGCTCAGGGAGGCAGAGGCAGGTGGACTGCTGTGAGTCCAAGGCCAGCCTGGCCTACAAAGCAAGTACAGGACAGCTAATACTAGACAGAGAAACCCTGTCTCAAAAACAGTAACAACCACCACCACCACCACCCAGGAAGGCTACACAGAGAAACCTTGTCTCAAAAACAAAAACAACAGCAAAAAACTACAAAACCAAACCAAACTCCAAACACAAAATCTGAAGACTTACCAATAACAGGGTTGCTGCTTCTGTGAGTTGGTTTAGGGGGTGGGATGGGGGGTTGCTTGGCAGGGGCCGTGTGAGTAAAACTCAGGGTGGCAGTAGTGCTAGTGCTGGCAGGCGCAGCGGGCAGAGTCCTGGGGGCTGGGGCAGGGGTGACGAAGGAATCAGCAGTCCTTGATGTATCTGCGGCAGCAGCAGGGACCACCCGTGTGGTGGCAGAGCCAGAAGTAGAGGAGACGGGCCTCGCTGTGCTGCCAGATGTGGCCTCCTCTGCTTGCCCTTCACTTGCTTCATAAGAAGAGGACAAGGGTCTTTTTGGGGGGAGTAGAGGCTGCTTAGGTACATGCTCAGGACCAGACTCTGCGTCAGAGTTAGGCTGGCTTCCGGTTGAGCCTGTGCAGGAAAAGATGATTGAAAGATGAAAAGACGGAAAATGGGAGCACATCCAAAAACCTCACCAATGGATTTACATTGTACAGGTCAGAATGCAGCTGCTGTCAGCACACGTAGGGACTGTCAGTAAGGGCAGTGACTCGTCACACGAGCCCCAGTACCATGGGCACATCAGATACACACCTGCCACACAGGCTGAGGACTGAGCTCAGATCCCCACACTTACAGAAGACTTAGGTTCTAACCCTAGTGTTGCACGGGGGGCGGGGGGGGTAGAGACAAGAAGGTCTCTGGAGCTTACTGGCCATCCAGTCTAGCCAATCAGTGAGTTCTGGGTTCAGTAAGAGATGCTGTCCCAAAATAAATAAGTAAGCTGGGCAGTGGTGGCTCAGGCCTTTAATCCCAGCACTTGGGAGACAGAAGCAGGCGGATCCGTGAGTTCAAAGCCAGCATGGTCTACTAAGCAAGTTCCAGGACAGCCAGAGCTACACAGAGAAACCCTGTCTCAAAAAATAAAAAAACAAAAAAGAAAACCAAAATGAAGCCAGGCAGTGGTGTTGCCTAACCACAAACGGATGGATGGATGGATGGATGGATGGATGGATGGATGGATGGATGGAGAGATAAACAAATAAAATTTTACGTCTCTCCTAAAAAGGTGGAGAGCAAGATGAGACATCCAATTCCAACCTCTGGTAGCACATGGATATGGAAACACACCCATAAAAGCAGACCCATAGAATTCCTTGGTATAACATGAGGATTTTGACAAGATCCTTCAGAAGAGCTAGGTGTGGTGACTCACATCTAAAACCCAACATGTGTGAGGCAAAGGCAGGAAGATTTCTCTGAGTTTGAGGCCAGTTTGGTCTACACAGAGACACTGTGTAAATGAAAACACTCTGTGGCTTTTAAACTCAAAAACCCACTTTTACCTAGTCTCTTCTTTGGATCATCTTCTGGATTAAGATTCCTAAGACTTGATACTCTCACTGGCTCTTCTTCCACTAGGACTGGACTAGACGACCTGGCAGTCCCTATGGGTGTGGTGTGGCCATTCTTTAACGTGGCATGGCTCGGCTTTCCTGGATCCTCACCATCTGCAAGAGAAAAAGAAAAGTGCTCAGTGACAGAGTTGGCATGGCCAGATGGGAAGAGCTGGTGGCCCCTGACCTCGCTTATTCCTTCTTCCTAGTAAGCAGGTTACCATCAAGACCTATGCTATCGGGATCCCTTCAGTGTTAGCAGAAACAGTAGCTCCTCTTCCAAAAGGTGATTTATTGCCAACTATATAAAATAACTTGCTACACAGATGATCTATTATACATACATATCACAAAACTAAGGTTAAGGGTATAGCCCAGTGGTAGAATATGGACCTAACATATGTAAGGCCCTATGACCAACACCCAGCACTGAGAGAAAATCGAGACTATCCTAAGATAAAGGCTATAGTAAGAAATCCATTCTTCTGGAGTAGACAAGGGTTTGAGGAAGCACCACAGGAAGCAGTAGGTGCTGAAAGAGGAACAGCAGCCTACCACATTGATGAAAGATAGTCGATTTAAACTAAGACAATAGGAAGGGCTGAAAAGACACTCAACAGTTAAGAGCACATATTGCTCTTACAGAGGACCTGGGTTCAGTTCCCAGCATCCATGCCAAGCAGTTCGCAACAGTCAGTAACTACAATTATAGGGGCTTTTACACCTCTAACCTATGTAGGCTTCTGCACTTACGTATACATACCCCTGCCACAGATACGCCAGACACATATACAAGTGAGTTTAGAAAGTAAGTCTTGCCAGTCAGTGATGGTGTACATCTTTAATCCTAGCATCCAACAGGCAGAGGTAGGCAGCATGATGGTCTACAGAGTGAAATCCTGGACAGCTAGAGATACACAGAAAAATGCTGTCTCAAAAAATTAAAAAAAAAAAAAAGTCTTTTTAAAAAGAAGCAGGGGCTGGAGAGATGGATGGCGCAGAGGTTAAGAATATCGCCTGTTTTTTCCAAAGGTCCTGAGTTCAATTCCCAGCAACCACATGGTGGCTCATAACCATCTATCTTGAGATCTGCCCTCTTCTGGTGTGCAGGCACACATTCAGGCAGAACACTGTATATATACTAAATAAATCTTAAAAAAAAAAAAAAAAAAGCAGTGTGTGGCAGCACACATCTTTAGCTCCAGCACTTGGGAAGCAGAGGCAGGCGGATCTCTGAGTTTGAAGCCAGTCTGGTCTACAACTGAGAGCAGGTCAGCCATGGCTCTGTCTTAAAAAACAAAACGAAATAAATAAATATAACAATAAATAAATAAATAAATAAATAAATAAATAAATAAATAAATAAATAAGCCAGATGTGGTGGCACATACCTTAATCCCAGCACTCAGGGAAGCAGTCACAGGAGGATTTCTGTGAGTTTGAGACCAGCCTGGTCAAAAAAGTGAGTCCAGAACAGCCAGGGCTACACAGAGAAACCGTGTCTCAAAAGCGGAAGCCAAACAAACAAATACATGGAAGCAGCAGTATACCTAAAAGCATGAAACGATGATCAGGAACTGGCAATGTGTGCAGTCGGATAGAGACCAGGTTCACGTGGTTATGGGCAGGACTGTAAAGGCAAGCAGGCGCCAGGCTATGAAGAGTATAAAATACAAGTAAAGGAGCTAGAAATCAACCCTGGATGGAACCAGAAGTCCAAGAAGTAGAAGTGGTAAGGAGGTGTAATTTCATCGGTTTGTAGAAGGCTGGTTCTGGAAGCTGTTAGGAGGAAGGGGAAGCAATAGAAACTACTGTTTTAATTTACATGAAAAAATAGCAGGAGGTCACAGAAGGTTTACCGTATTAATTAATTGGTTAGTTATTAAACTAGCTTTTTAGACAGATCTTAATATGCACCCTGTCTGGCCTAGTGCTCTATATACCAGGCTGGGTTTTTTTTGTTTGTTTGTTTTGTTTGTTTTGGTTTTCAAGACAGGGTTTGTCTTTGTAGCTTTGGCTGTCCTGGACTTGCTTTGTAGACCAGGCTGGTCTTGAACTCACAGAGATTTGCCTTCCTCTGCCTCCTAGGTGCTGGGATTAAAGGTTGCACCACCATGCCCACCTGTAGATTTTTCTTTTTAATTTTTATTTTCTTTTGGTTTTGAGTATCCCTGAATGGTCCAGGACTCACTCTATAGACCAGGCTGGCATGGAACTCACAGAGTTCTGCCTGCCTCTGCCTTCCAAGTTCTCAGACAAAAGGTGTGTGCCACCATGTCTGGCTTTTTATTTCTTTTTAAAACTATTGCATTCATTTATGGATGTGCCATGGCTTGTGTCATAGTGCCTATGTTGAGATCAGACAACCTATGAGTGTAGTTCTCTACAGGGGCCTGTACTGGATGAATCAGCGCTCTGGCACTGTACTCTTTATTTTATTAATTTTCAGAATCTTTTGTTGTTGGTTTTTAAGTATATTATTGTTTTGTCTGCATGTATGTACACCACGTGCTTGCCTGGTGACAGGGTAAGGCAGAAAAGGTGCTGATCATCTGGAACTAGAGTTATAGATGGCTGTGAGACACTCTGTGTATACTTGATTTGAGCCCAGGATATAACAGTAGCAGGTGCCCTTAACCACTGAGCCATATCTACAGTGCCTACTTATTTTTTAGAAGAAGGAAGCAAGATGGCAATTCTGCCAAAGTATCAAACTGTGAAACTGAAGAAAAATGAAATATATCAAGGTACAACATAACAGCCATACAAGACAAAGTAACAACTGAGTATTGAAACATCAATGAGTGATCATTGTGACAGTGAGATGAACATGGAGGCAAGTTGGTCAAAACTACCAACCAACAATTTGAAATAACTGTCATCACTGCAGGTGACACAAGTCTAAGGATGACAGACAGACACAGAAGGTTTACTCCCGGACCCTTCACCAATCATTCTATTTCACAGCTTAAGAGCGAAGCCAGACACCTGAAAAGAACTAGGGAGCCATTTTTACAGTACTCCTCCACTGTAAGTACAGCAATAGTTAAGCAAAGAAGAGAATTCAAGTATGGAGCGTGACCCAGCGACAGACTACTGCACAGACAGGCGTATGCGATCATCTGGAACTCACCCTGCTCAGGGTCTTCCAATAGAACCCCTCGTTTAACCAGCTCTTCTCTTGGTTTTCGCATAGATATTTTTCGCTCTAAAACTAATATTAAATTGGAAAACAGAACTCAGAAGTGTGGCAGTTGGAAGGTGAACATATCTCTTAGCGTTATGCGTCTAAAGGGATAAAGCGGTTCACATTACTTGTACTCTTAAGGAAGAGAAAACAGGAAAAGTAACTTTAAACCTAAAACTCAGTTGAGTCTGGTGCCACATGCCCGTAATCCCAGCACTTGGGAAGTGGAGGCAGGAGGGTCAGTTCTAGGACAGCCTCAGCTACACAGTAAATTCTAGACTAGCATGGGCTACACAAAGCTGCCTCAAACAAAACAAAAGTCACAATTTGAGAGTAGGATGCTGAAAAATGCAGCCAAGTTCAAGGCCAGCCTATGCTATACAGTGTTAGGTAAGGCATGGCAAGGCTCTGAACAAAACAAAACAAAATCAATTGCTGGGGCTGGAAGTTAGATTAACTGTAGTGATTGCCTAGCATATTCAAGGCCCTGGGTTCTACACCTAGAAATGAATATCAAAAACAAACAACAAAGCCAGGCACAGTGGCACACATCTGTCATCCGAGCACTCAGGGAGGCAGGCAGGCAGATCTCTGTAAATTCTAGGCTAGCCTGGTCTATAGAGCTAGTTCTAAAATAGCCAGGGCTACACAGAGAAACCTTATCTAGAAAAACCAAACCAAATCAAATCAAATCAAACCAAACAAACAAAAAAATAAAACAACAACAAAATCTTAACATTAATGTTTTTTTTTGTTTTGTTTTGTTTTTTTATTACTTGTGCTGGGAAAGTATCATTTCTCAAAGAAGCCACTCTCAAATGGCTGCAGCTTCTCTGGGCTTCAACAGTGAGGTGTTACAGGTGAGCCATACCCCTGGCAAACGGGTGAAGCAGAAAAGAGCTACAGTGCGGGTGCCTCAGGGTCTCACTACCAATTCCTGTCCAGCCCTTTTGTTTTCATATTTATTTTGGCCTAGAACTCACTATGTAACCCAGGCTAGCCCCACACTCCTGGCCGCCTGTCATGTACTGAGATGACAGGCATGCAGCATGATGTTTGTCTTTACTAACAGATTTAATCCCATCAAAACATAAACATGGACAGGCAGCTAGAGAATGTTAAGTGTCAGCCAGGCTTGCTGAAACAGGCCTGTAAATTTCAGTTATTCCAAAGGCTGAGGAGGGAGGATTGTCATAGTTTAAAGCAGGGTGAGCAATCTGGTGAGACCCTGAAACAAAATGAAAAACAAAACAAAAACGACTGTGTTAGGGGGTAGGGAGAAGGACAGGGTATTGACTCAACTGGTAAATTTGTTGCCAAGCCTGATAAATGAAATTTGATTCCTGGAACCCAGTTGGTGGAAGGAGAGAAAAGACTTTGCAAATTTTACTAGACCTCCCCTGTGACCTGACAAACAAACTGTAGTTTAAAAACAACCACTGGACATCATGGTCCATATCATCAGGAGGCTAAGGCAGGATAACTGCTACAATTGAGCCCAACCCAGGCAACAAAAGGAATAAAGGAATAGCAGGTCAATTGAGGACCTGCCTCAAAAAAAAAAAAAAGATGGCTGGGGTTGTAGGTCAGTGGCAGAGCACATCCCTAGTATGTGTTATACCTTAGGTTCATACACGTAATCATCAATACAAAACACAAAAGCAAGAAAAGGTTCAATGAAGGACCATTTATCTGTCTAAATTCTAAAAGACTGAACTCTTCAAGTAGGAGGTTATAGAAATTTAGGAAGACGTGAAAAGTTGGACGCTTCTAAAACAGGAAACTCATTTGGTAGAACGTATGCCTTCCAAGCACTAAGTCCTGGCTCAATCTCTCACACTATATAAGCTAGATACAGCACATCCCTGGAATCCTGGTGCTCAGGAAGGCGAGACAGGAGAATCACAAGTTCAAGACTGTCCTTGTGGTATAAAGAGTCAAGGACACCCTGTGATATATGAGACTGTCCTCTAGATTAATCAGATGATCAATTAATTAACAGAACCCCCTGCAAGCACTATTGTTGTTATTGTTTGCCCCATATAATCCAGACTGACTGAATTTTCTGTGTGGCTAAGGATAACCTTAAATTCCTGATCTTCCTGCTTCCACCTTCCAAGTGCTGGGATTACAGCCTGCACCATCAAGCTCATCTAAATCAGGAAAAATTTTTTTTAATGTGTGTGTACAATTTGTACGTATATGCGTGTAAACACACATGGGAATGTGCATGATATGGTATGCATGTGAAGGTCAGAGGTCAACCTCCAGTGTCAACTCTCACTACACTGGTTGAGACAGTGTTTCTTGGTGTTTGTTTTTCTTTCCCCACTGTGCATGTTAGCTGGCCCCTGGGATTCTCGGGATTCCCTGTTGCAGCCTTTCCCCTCCCCACAGGAGCACTGGACTGCAACAGTCTATGTACAGATTCTGGCTTTACGTGGGCTCTAGAGGTTCCAATTTAGGTCCTCACATTAGCATCAAGTGCTGTGCCTACTCAGTCTCCTCCTTGTCCCACACAGAGAATGCTTAAAATTAGAAGCCTTATTTATTTACTGATTGATTGATTGATTGATTGGCAAGGTCTCACGGTGCCCAGCTTGGTGGGAACTCCATGGATTGCAGGAGAGCACAGGCACAGCCAGTCTCAGGAAGAGCCTAGCTAGCCGCAACCCCACTCCTCCACGCGCATACTTAATTTAAATCTCCTATCTTACCTTCTGATGTCTCTTTGAATTTATCACTGCTTTTTTTTTTCCTCCATTTCCATGGCTTGAAGATCTTGCCAAAACCTGAGAACTTGCTTTTTCTTTTGGTGGGAGGAGTTGTGTCACCTGTTTCCACAGAGTCCATGAGCATGCCTGGGTCTGCAGAGGGCTGCTCTGCTTCTTCTGCACAGGGAGAAGGAGAGAGGAAACGAACAGCCAATTAATTACTCCTGTGTAACCTCTAACCCTGCCCCCTCTCTTCCTGTGGCTCTAGAAAAGGATCCAAGCAATTGATAACAATCATGAGACAAGTCACACTGCAGACATCGCATGGACAGCAAAGGCCCAAATCACTGACGGAGCCGAACTGACCTGATGTCATTTAACAGGAAAGTTCAGTGCAATGACGAGAACCAGTCCACATCTTCGGCATACACAATGCAGATGTCATCTCAATATGCATGAGCTCTGCTCCACTGAAACGCGGATCCACCACTGTGGAAATCACTGTTAAACATTACCCTCTCCATAAACTCCCAGCAGTTTCCGGGATTCAAACAGTTCAGAGAAGGGCAATCCATCAAGTGTTGACACCTTGTGTCTGTTTATCAGATTTTCTCCCCACACAAAAAGAGCTCTGCATAATTGTGGAAGATTGGAAAAACACTGAGGTTGGGGAAGGGCATTAGAGCAAATGCTTTGAAATGAAGGGAATTGGAAACAGAAAAGGAGAAATTCTACTTTGCCTGTCACAGAATTACTTAGGAGAAATCTTGATATTAAGGATTTGACCCAAAACATAGTTGACATACTACAAGTTCAGGACTGAGATCAAAGGCCTTGAGCCCCACATAATGACACATGCAGGGCTTAGTTAGTTAGCTCTAATGGCTGAGAAAGCAGCAGCCATTGGGCGGGGACAGGAAGGCAACAACAATAACAAAAGCAGGAAGGCAACACAATGCAGCCATGCATTCCACCAACTGTCCCAGAGTTTTCTGGTCTAAGGAAAGAAAAAGCTCCGTGGGCTCTCTCCTGGGATTAAGGTGCAATTGCTACTTCAAAAAAAAAAAGCATCAGCATACATGTTTGTGAACTATTTTATACTAGAAGCAAGAGTTTAAACATGTACTGAAAACAATTATCTCCTTTCAACACTATAGGTTTGTGTTGCTGTTATTTTTCAACTACACGTTTTTCAAATTTAGCTTCTGTGCATGTGTGTGTTGGAAGCAGGGAAGCTGTACACAGCCCAGGACTTATGCGGAAGACAGAAAAACAGTAAATGCTCTCCTTCCACTGTGTGGGTCCTGGGACTAAATTCAGGTCATCAGGCTTGGCTTCAAGTGCCTTTACTTATAAGCCACCTTGAGACTAATTTAGATTTTTTTTTTTTTTTTTTTTTTTTTGAGAAAATGTCATGCTGGGTAGCCTACCCAGTCTGGTCTTGACTCTGTGAGCCTCCTGCCTTAACCTCTTGAGCACTGAAATCACAGGCATGTGCCTCTACACGGCTCCTGTAAATCTCCTGTTAACATATCCATGAGTATTCCAGAAAATGTTATTTGACAGAAAGAAGGGAACATTACAAACATCTAAAGATTTTTTTTTTTTTAGAGATTTATTTATTTTATTATGTATACAATGTTCTGCCTGCGTGAACGCTATAAGAGGGCACCAGGTTTCATTATAGATGGTTGTGAGCCACCATGTGGTTGCTCGGAATTGAACTCAGGACCTCTGGAAGAGCAAGCAGTGCTCTTAACCTCTGAGCCATCTCTCTAGTCTACATCTAAAGTTTTAATTGGACTAAAAATGTTAAAGAAAAGACCATAAAGAAAAGCAGCCAAAATTTTAGCAACACAGAGAGCTCCTGCCTGAAAGTTCTCTGAAAGGAAGACTCATTCAGCCTGATTCTGCTGCTTGCAACCACACCTAATTATTCACTTTTTGGTTTTTGTTCTGTTTTTTTTGGATTTTTTTTTCTTGTTGTTGGGTTTGTTTGTTTGAGACGGGGTCTCTCTATAGCCCTGGCTACCCTGGAAGTCACTCTGTAGACCGGGCTGGCCTCAAACTTACAGAAATCCACCTGCCTCTGCCTCCTGAGTGCTGGGATTAAAGGCATGCACCGCCATACCTAGAAGAAACAGTGTTCTCTTTGCTTTTCTCTTCATATGTATGTAATTTTGTCAAATGTTTTAAAACAGAACTTTGCTTCATGGAGTGGGGTAAAACCACACCTAGCCCTACATGTTATGTTTCCCAATTCATTCATCCATATTAACATTTTCTATATTAGTCATCTATCTTTGTATTTCTATTTTTGCTTGTTTTATGTGACAGGGTCTTCAGCCCAGGCTGACCCTGAATTCATTTGTAGCTGAGAATGACCTTGAACCCCTGATCCTCCATGGTCTTCTTCTCAAATGCTGAGATTTCAGGTGTAAGTCACCACATCCGGTTTCACTTATGTTTTTATTCTTCCTCCTCCTACTTGCAATGACAAGCTGCATATTATTTCAGTGACTCACACATCTGTCCAAATATTTAGAATCAGCCCAACTGCCTTTGTAATATGCAGGCTCTCCAGGAAGTGGGGCCACGAATCCTTTTTAAAAACTCTGCAGTCAGGTGTGATGACATACACCTATAATCTTAGCACCCAGGAGGCAAAAGCAGGAGGATAAGAAGTTCCAGGACAGTGTGGCTACATAGTGAGACCCTATCTCAAGAACACGAGGGCAGGGCTGAAGCTCTGGAGTGAGTGTGGCGCTGGCACAAGGTCCCAAGTGCCACAAACCCCAAACATTCAGGGTCTCACATCACTAAGTTTATAACTCAACCCCAGATTATTATCTGGGAACCTCACACATGTTAAAAGAGACAGGGGCAGGCATTTCTGACTCAAATTTCTGCCTTGCTGAGGCCACTAGATCAAGTGTGGCAGCGCTGCTGGGCAAGGCGCCCCACAGGGTTACTCAGGTGCCCCGTGCTTCCCAGCCCCGGTCACATACAACTCAAATTACAAGGAAGCATAGGCTTGCTTTGTTGTTTGGGAATTTTTTTGTTTGTTTTTGAGACAAGGCTGTCCAGGAACTCTAGGCAAATCAGCGGTTCTCAGCCTGTGGGTCACACCCCTTTGGGGTCACCCAAGACCATCAGAAAATACAAATATTTACATTGAGATTCAAAACAGTAGCAAATTACAGTTAGAAAATAACACCAAAAATAATTTTATGTGGGGTCACCACAACATGAGGACCTGTATTAAAAGGCCACAGCATAAGGAAGTTTGAGAACCCCTACTGTCACAAACTCAGGGATCCTCCTACCACTGTCTCCTAAGTGTTGGGATTAAAGGCATGAACCACCACACCCAAGCCAGAAACACAGACTTTTCTAGCCACGCTTATATTACGCTCCTGTACAACAGAAAACAGTGTGCACTATACCAAATATGGTGGTGCACACCTATAATCTCTGCATTTGCCAGGCTTAGGCAGGAGCGCCTGCTTGCTGTTCAAGACCAGCCTGGGCCATAGAGTGAGTTCCAGGACACTGAACTACATACTGAGAGGGCCAGAGAGATGGTCCTATGGGTACCACAGTTCTGTGCTTACTGGGCAAACCTGGAGTTCTCTCACATAATGGAAGGAGGAAACTGACTCCCAAAACACATCACAAACTCACACTGATAATAAGTAAAATACTAAGGGGCTAGAGAGATGGCTCAGCAGTTAAAAGCACTTATTGCTCTTGCAGATGGCCCAGGTTCAAATCCCAGCACATTGACTCACAACCATGTACAACTCCAGTTCCTGAGACCCAGATGCCCTCCTTTGACTCCACAGGCATCAAGCAAGCATGCACACAGTGCACATACATACATACATACATACATACATACATACATACATACATACATACA